CCCAAGTAGCTAAGATTACAGGCATTAGCCACTGGCACTTGGCCCTCATTTTTATTATTTTTCTTTTTGTGCTGGTCCTGGGACTTGAACTCAGGGTCTGGGTGCTATTCCTGAACTTTTGCCCAAGGCTAGTACTCTACCACTTGAGCCATGGTCCTGTTTCTGGTTTTCTGGTAGTTTATTGGAGGTCAGATTCTCACGGATTTTCTGCCTGGGCTGGCTTCAAACCACCATCCTCAGATCTCATCCTCTTGAGCAACAAGGATTACAGGAGTCAGCCACCAGCACTCAACTTCTCGTTTTTATTTTTAAAAGCAGAACTTTGAGTAGTCAGTCTGTAGCACCTTTCCTGGCACCCAAACTCTTGAAATACAACCAACAATAAAGGAACTGGGACCCTGAGCCCAAAGCAGTTAGAGTCTTCTTAGTCATGGGCACTTGGTGACCTTCTAGTGTTCTCTACTCATCAGAATTTCACTCATTTCCCAGGGATATTCTTTCTGGCACTTTTCAGTCTGGCAGCTATTTTTTATGACCAAAGAAGGATTGAAGCAAAATCAGATATGAGAAGCTGGGTTTTGTTTTTGTTATTCACCAGCATCATGGATTCACCAACTTTTTTTAAACAATGAAATTGTATTATTTTACAGACCTGGAGGTTTGAAATCCAGGCTCGTGTTCTTGATGATGATATGGGATCCTTGTGAGCCCTGTGAATAAGAGCCTATTCTGTGCCTTCTCCTTGCTACATAAAGGATCGTGTAACTTTTATTTAGCTAGTTACTTTTAGTAATAGGATTTTTAATTGATACACGATAATTATGTATCTTCATGGGGTGTAATGTGATAATTCAATATATGGATACAATGTGTACTGATGACATCAAGATAATTAGTGCTTACATCTCTGTCATTTTCTTGTACTGAGAACCTTTGAACACCTCTCTTCTAGCTCCTTATCATATGTATGAGAAGTTATTCGAAGCTAGAGGCATCCTACCATGCTGCTGTGATATACTAAGGTATTCAATGAAATTTTAATCACTGGCTTTCCACATGAAAGGGAGAATCCACTCTGAATTTCCTCATTTTTATTGTTTATATCAGAACAAGCAATTTTACATGTCCAACATTAAGAGCAGCTTGACCATACACACACACACACACACACACACACACACATTATCTTACGATCAGTGGGACAAGACTACACGTGTGTGTGGTTTTATTCAATAAGCATTCACATTGTTTGTCCATCGGGTAGCAGGTTGTAGTGCCAGCTACTGGAGATTCCTTACTGGATGATTCTAGCTAAGCTTCTTCCTTAATGGGTGACAGTCATGATCTGCATGGCTACCACTCTTCTGCTATTCTTCACACACCACTGACTCATGAACTATACAAGATGTTCATATCACTACAAAATACTAAAGCCGTACATATGATACCCGGAAATGGGGTGTGACCTGGGTAGGATCTAGGCCAGAAAAGCACTTTATATGGGCCCTGGTCCTCTTCTCATGCCCACAGAAAGTCGAAGGAAAAGCCTATGTCAAGTGACAGAATTAACAGTGATGGAATTTATCATCCGTCGTCTGGGATGCAGTCTTGTTTTGTATGTTCTTGGACTGATTCTGAAATGCAATCATGCCCATTGTTCTCTTCCTTAACTGTATCCTGCTTCCTCTTCTGTTGACGACTCACAGCCCTAACAGTTGCTTTCCGTTTGCAAAAGGTAGAAATAACAGGGTACAGGAGCTGGGAAGGTGGCTCAGTGGTAGAGCATTTGCCTTGCATGCATGAGGTCCTGGGTTCGATTCCTCAGCACCACATATGCAAAAAGAAAAAAGCCGGAAATGGCGCTGTGGCTCAAGTGGTAGAGCGCTAGCCTTGAGCTGAAGAGCTGAGGGACAGTGCCCAGGCCCAGAGTTCAGGCCCCACAACCGGACCCACAAAAAAAAGAGAAATAACAGGGTACAAAGGAGGGTATATGAGGGCGGGTCCTAACTTCCCCTGAGAACTATCCCTCTGAACTCCAGAGCTCTGGGGCCACAGCAACTTCTCTTCTTGAAACTCACACCTTTGCTTTTTGGCAGGTATCTTCTCCAAGGGCATTACACTCTTCTCCACACTTGACTGTTTTTAGAACCTATATGCTAGAAATATCAACCCCACTGAAGCGCTTTACTCCTTCAATAGGGTCCCCCCCCCCCCGATCAAAGACCTACAAGGGCATTAGAACCACACCGAGGAAAGCGGAGGGTAGCCGTGAAAAGCACCCACCACAGCAGTCATCGGTTATTTATTCTTCATTAATAAAATGAATATGTCACTCAACTGTCCCACTAGGTTACTAGAAGGAATGTTTTATCTACTCTGCTCTTACTGATGTCAGTGTGGAATGTGTACAAGTCGGCTATTAAATGTATCATTTAATAAAAACACATTTCCAAACTCCAGTCAGTCTAGCAACGAAACTTCCATTGAACTGCCTGGTGTCCTTTGGTCCCCTTCTCCAGATGGTTCCTCTTGGAGATTTTGGAGATGTTTTCTTCATGTACTTTTGCTTAGGATCATGGAGCTCCTGCAGAGGCTCTTTGGCTCTTTGAGGGGCACTCCAGAAAGGCCCCCTCTTTGAAGGAGACCAACAAGAGGGGAGAAAGATAAAGAGAGTCTGAACACTGGTAAACATATATTATATATGTGTATGAAAGTAACATAATGAAACTCGCTTAAAATCATTTTCAGAAAAAAGAAGAAAGCCCCTATTTTTTATTTTCTTATAAGATGAGCAAAAGTATGAGTTCCATTTGTCCCTCCCAAGCAGAGTCTTCAGGTTCCTCTAGCTAGGTCGGCCTGAGTGAAGCTTGATGTCAAAGGAGAACTGGACTGTTCTTGGTGGTTGAAGATGAAATCATACAAGAAGAAAGAGGTTTTGGGCACCAGAAAACATAAGAGGTTTAAAAATTGTACAGATGCAGGGGCTGGGAAGATGGCTCAGTGGTAGAGCGCTTGCCTTGCATGC